TTTGACCATGAAGCTTTACTAGAATACCGTGTAACACTCCCGCCTTTAAAATAAACTCAAGGTGTTACAAGGTCCTGAATTCTTAACCAACTCGAAGCTTTAATGGGATTCCGTGTAACGCTCCCGCCTTGAAGATAAACTCAAGGTTTTACAAGGTCTTGAGTGCTTAACTATCTTGAAGCTTTAATAGGATACCGTGTAACGCTCCCGCCTTGAAAATAAATTCAAAGTATTACAAGGTCCTGAATGCTTAACCATCTTGAAGCTTTAATAGGATACCGTGTAATGCTCCCGCCTTGAAGATAAACTCAAGGTATTACAAGGTCCTGAATGCTTAACCATCTTGAAGCTTTAATAGGATACCGTGTAATGCTCCCGCCTTGAAGATAAACTCAAAGTGTTACAAGGTCTTGAATGCTTAAATTATTCGCCCCTTCTTAACAACCCTCTTTTTCGAGTTTTATCTTATTTCGTGGATTATTGTAAATAAACTTTAACACTTTTATTTACTTCTTATTTTCTGCAGTTTGAACAATGGTTTTCTTCAAGGATTATACTTGTCCATCTTCTAAACTCGAATATCTCATTGTTGGATCAGAGGGTAGTACGATGGAGACTAAGTTTTTGGTCCAGGAATCTTTTGTTGGTCGATATGTTGATCCATGTCCACAATTGAGAAAAACACTTTATATGAAAAGTTGGACATCTGAATACGATCATTAATCTAATTAAACCTCTAAAGTATGGTATCTTGAGAAACCAATTCCTCATGGTATAAACGTTACGAGGACCTTTTCAAATTCAAGTTGCCGCATGATTCAAGAAGAACTACGTTGGGGAGACAATATTGTGGTTGAAGGTGAATATCTTTGCATTCCGGGGTACTGGGAATGGACAGAAGATGTCTTAAGCAAAAATGGGCAAACTCTAAACAGTACTTGTATTCGTGATGCTGTATTTGATTCTCTTTTTACCTATGATCGGAACTCCAATATTATACAAGCCTTTTGTGAGGCTTGGTGCCCTCAAACAAATACATTACTTACATCTGCTGGGGAAACATCCATATCTCTTTGGGACTTGCATATTCTTGGTGGTTTGCCAATTAACGGATACCCTTACGAAGAAGTGATACCAAACTCCACTGAACTTACAGGATTTAATGATAAGCGGGAAAGATTTCTTCCTCAAACTTGTGAATATATGTTTGTTGCCTTTCATCACCTTAAAGAGGAAAATCATGGTAATATGGGAATCTCTTTTAATGAATGGATACAATTTTGGTGCAAGAAAGATCTCAAATATGAGCTAGCTCCCCCAAGAAAAGAGAAGAAATCTCGGCGTCTGTCGTCTACTCATAATCCTACAGGCGAAATACCTATTGAGATAAATACATGGTCAATTACTCTAGAGATGGTATTTTCTAAGCTTGGAGCGAAACATCAGAAATATGAGACTTATCTGACGGCCTTTTTGTCATGTTGGTTATGTGCCTTTGTACTTCTGTCTGAAGAAGGCAATTTCATTAGACCTAAGACTTTCAAGATAGCGAGTTTAATGGTGAGCGGTAAAAAGGTTAGCCTTGCGATTCCAATTTTAACAAGCATATATCATGGCTTAAATAAAATTTCAAATTCTTCACAGTTGGACCATGTAAGAGTTTGTTTTCCCATTCACTATGTCTATGGTTGGCTTGCTTATTATCTCAAAACACTATCCGCACTGGACCTTCTCAACCACGAATGATGGTATATTCTGGAGAAGGTGCTGCAAAGTATTTTGACAAAGATGAGGCAAGAAAGCGTGTTCATCGGGGGGAGAACATTGTATGGAATGCAACCATGCTTAGTAGGCCTCACCCAACTTATTATATTGATGATGAAAAATCATCAGAGTTGGATCAAGCTTATTTTATGAGCATTCGTTTTAATTATCTTCCATTGAGGAGGGGAAGTTCCTAGGTCATTGAGCCATATAGTCCGCACCGATTTAGTCGCCAATTTGGTTTCCATCAAGATAATCCTTGCTATTTAGAAAATGATATTCGTGTTGAGTCACTTGATGAAGGCCTTAGATACTGGCACATTTGTGTATCATGTGTGACTATGTCTAAAGCGACATTTCCTCCTGCGGTAACTTCCGCAAAGAAGCTTTGTACCACCCAATATTCATCTTGGTGGGAGAGGTCCTATGGAACATTTCTTGAGGATAATTTGGATGTTATGGTGGAAAAAGCTGGGTTAGCATTTGTTACCCTTCTAGAAGACAAAAGTCAAGATATGGAGAAAACACTTTCAAAAGTCAAGACACCACTTGCTCCCAAACATCAAAGTAAGAAGCTCAACTTTTCTAAGGCATCTAAGAAAGAACTGGTTCATACTCCTACCGATAAAGAGAAATCCCCCCAATTTCTCTTCTCTAGTAAATGGCCCCTTCAAGAAACAAGCAAAACTAGCAAGGATCGATGTTGGAAGAGGCAAAGAATTGAACTATCTGGGGCTGAAATTGTAGAAGTCCGAAGTGTCGATAATCCTTCTAGATCATTGACAATTCAGAGTAACAAGGTATATATATATATATATATATATTTTCTTTTTTATTATATATATTTATTTATTTTAAAAATAAATAAATAAAATGAAATGACCTTGCTAACCTGCCCCTTTTGTTTGTAGGTTGATGCTGATGGACATTTACAAGGATCACCGCGTGAGAGGCCACAAGTTAGCGAAGAGTCTACCGCGATATTGAGACCTAAGGCAAAACCAATTTCAAATATCGAGAAAGATCAAGAGTCATCGTCTACTTCTCGTGGCCAAACTTTAAAAGGGTTGGATCTTAACTCAAATGAGCTTTCCCGAGTTCTTCCCAAGATAAATGGTGCTATGTCTGTCTTCGAAGGAAGAGGTGTGGTGTTTAATCACAAAAGGAAGTACATCTTGGGTCTTTGGGAAGAGATCTGTAGAAAACTTTCCTGAACTTCTCTAAACAATATTTCATCTTACAAAGATGATATTTATGAGATTTTCAAGGAGATGAGTGAGATGAATCTATTAGATCTTTCACCATTAAAAAGCTTGGTAGATTCTCTTTTTGATCATGCTACTTCTTATGATCAAGAACACTCTAATTTTGTTGACAAGGGGCCTGAAGATAGGAAGATGGAACTGCTTTCCAATGCCAAAGAGCATTTTGAATTATTCAAAGTATAGGAATGTGAGAAGGCAAAACATGTCTCTTCTAACAAGAAATCACTAAAGAAGGTTAAGCGGAAGCTAGAACCTTTACAAGGAGAGCGAGAGGGTCTTGAAGCTGTTTTAGACGCTGCTAAGAAGAACGTCAAGGAGATTCAAGCTAAGATTTTAGCTACGGAAGATGAGATATCATCGTATGAGAATATGAGTTTATTAACGCCTGAAGATTCAATTCGCATGGAACAGAAAGGCTAGTCGACAAGATTTGACCAACTACAAGTTACGCTTAGACTAGACTTTTTTTTCTCTCCATTTTATTTTATTTTACTTTTTAACTTTCGATTGGTCGTTAATTCTTGATTGCAAGCTTTTATTAATTCAAAGTCATGTCGCATTTTCCATGTCAATACGAATGAATATAGAGCAAGTTCCACATTTTTATTTAGTTTGCACATTTAAACTTGACTTGTGAATTTAGTGGAATCCGATGCTTCAACTCGTAACAAGTTTTAGAACCTTTAACTTGTAAATTCAAAAAAATATAAAGGTTTGCTCCTTCCATAAACCCATCAATACTTCGTACAAGTCTAAGATTTGATGAGACAAAAGATAATATACATATAAAATTCGCGTCGAGAAAACAATAATCAAGATCAGAAAATTATAGCAACAATCGTTTTATTATTTCAAATGCGAGTATTACAATCTCTATAATTCCTCTGAATTCACCTTTTCAAATATAAATTCAAGGGCTTTAAAGCTTGTTCTTGAATCTATGATGAACTTGAACTTGAACATTATCTTGACCTTGACTTTTATTTGAATTCAAGGGCTTCGAGCTTGTTCTTGAATTCGGTGGTCTTGATCTTGATCGTTCTTGAACTTGAATGCTTGAATTCTTAAGCTTGTAGCTTTGTAGAGAATTAAATGACGTTTGTACCACAGAGTTTGTCTAGCTTCTTGTTTAGAATTTCTGTCTCTTTCTGAATTATGAGGACCCCTATTTATAATTTTAGAATAGAGGAGTTGCGATTGGAATATGATTCCGTTCAGCCAATCAGATTTAAGTGACATGACATTTGGGCTTTATGGAGTGAGCTTGTCATCTTTGACACATGTCATGATTCTATTGGTTTTCTTATTTGACTTGGCATGCCACATCATCTGCACATGTGGCGCCAAAATGAGCTCTAGAATGAGATGTGACTGGGTTTAACAAATTGGGTTCATCCAATGTAGCCCAAATCAATTAATTTAGACTTTAATTAAATCCATATTTATTGGACTTAAATATTTAACTCAATTATATCAATCCACAATATTTATTTGGATTAATATATTTATGAATTCAATATAATCCGAATCATTTTATAAATTTGTACTTAATAAATTTTAAATGATTGCAGGTATATTTAATGTTTATTTTATTTAATTTTTCATGATTATATAGTACTTAATTTCGGCGTCATGAATATATTCAAATTTTTGGGGTGTTTAGCTTTGCTATTATAATATCGAAATACTTATAAATATCTGTATTGTTGAATTTTTTATTGAAATATGATATAACGTATAATCGCTCCTTGCTCACCAAGGAATCAATACTTTTCTTTATTTACTCTATTTTATCAAGCCGAAACGTGACTCGTGAATTTTTGTTAATTAACTTGATTAATTTGTTGATGCATAATTTAAAAATAGACTAAGTAAATTATTGTTTGTTGACCAAAGATGCATATTTTTTCTAAACGATTTAATCTTTATCATCTGAAGTGTTTTAGAGTCTTGGTATTCTAAGGGTCTTGGATCTAAGGGAGCTTTCAAATTTGGTGTGAATATAAAGGTTAGATTATTATTATTTTTTTCTAAAAAGAAGGGCTTTTTTATGAGTTCATTGATCTATGACATTAGATTTTGGGGTAATAACTTGCAAATAATAATAACTATCTTATTGTTTAAGCGAAAATATATATAAAATGAGATATAGTCACACGTGTCATTAATTATTAGTTATAGTGCACCCTCAATGTATTTGTTGTTTTCATTAAAAAATTATAAATTAATCACGCTCTTTTGTTAATGCTTGAAAACACTTTTGTTGCTCTTACTTTGTTTATTTATATATTTATTTATGCTTCACTAAAAATTAATAATCATATTTAAAATAAGTTAATAACACTCTATATTGTTAATGATCGGATGTACTTTTATGCTTTAATAAAAGAAAAAATAAGCAAACTAATCAAAATCAATAATTTAATTCGTAAAAAACTCATTACTTTAAAAATATAGTTAAAATGTCAAAAATGTCATTATTTTGAAAAAGAATATGTATCCTAATTTAACCCCTATTTTATCTCCAAAAGTTAATTTATTTACATTCCCATGTATATCCACAGTTCACGTTTCCCAAATTATTTTTATTTAAAAAAAATCAAAATCTACAATTTTTTTCCATATCTCTCTCTTCTTTATTTATTCCATAAGTAAAAATAAAGTAGAATTCTCTCTCTTCATATTTCTATTCAACCTTCAAATCCTTCTTCTTTTCAATCCTAATTTTCTTATTATCTTTAACTGAAATGTTGTTTTTTTATCTTCAAAATCTGGATTCACACAAATTCATCTAATTAAGATATTTTCATCGTTATCTTCTTTTTTTTTTAGATTTATTTTCTCATTTTATTGTTGTTTAAATCATTCTTATTTTGTGAAAGTAGGATAATTCCCGTTTAAAACTATAAAACACTCTTCAATGGATAATTCTAAGAGACACTATTCATCATAGTAAAATGATTTCTAGTGATTTTCCATCATTTAATTTATGTATTACTCAAGAAATAGCGGATATTGTAGGATCTACTTCTAAAAGGAGGGAAGAGAGATGACAAGAACAAAGTCTTCGTCAAATTCAGATTGAAAACATAACTCGTAGGGTACAAGAAAATGACGGAGAAGACCAAATTGTTGATGAGGAGGTATTTAAATATTTTTGCATGTTTACATTTCTGCATGTTGAGTTAAATTCAAAGAACAATTTGTTCAGTAATGTGTACTGAATATATTTGTAAATTTCTTGTTATGTATAGTGTGCAATATTTATTAGTTTGTATTTTATATTCAGTCGTTATTTTATTGTTGTATTTTGGGGTTAGTTTTTGTTAATTTTGATAATGTATCATTTTTTATTCATTCCTTTATATATTTTCACATTTTTAGATATTCAATAATTTATGAATGCATTTTACATGAGTATGATATTTCAGATTTTATTAATGAACTTTTGTTTGATTTGTGTTGTATGCTATGGAATTTTTATGTATTTGTGCTATATGATTATTGTTAATGAATTCATTTTGGGTGATTTTGAATTAAGATGTTTTTATGCTAATTGTACTTTGTGTGAGCCTTGTTTGTATCCGTAAAGTAAATATACACATTGTAATGCTATTTGTATGTTTCCAAAGTAAATACATATGAGTTGTATTCAGTGTATTCTTAATGTATTTTGGATTCAAATGTGTTTATTCAGTGTATTCTTATTGTATTTTGGATTCAAATGTGTTTATTTAGTGTATTCTTATTGTATTCACACTAAATTAAAACTTCCCAAGTCATTAATAAAGTCAGGAGTAGAGTTGTTAACAAAGTCAAGATTAAGTAAGTAATATATGTATTCACAATTGTACTTGCATCATGTCATGAACAAAATTTTATTCAAGTAATATCACTTACTAAATATATAACAATCATCATGTTATGAACAAACTTCATCATAGTAATAAATATTATGTATTCACAATAGTAATTCTTCATATTTCATAGAAGTCCCTTAACATATATATGTACAAAATAAATATTGAAAATGTATTCATTTCAGAACAAACGTTTACAACATACATTACATTGATCATATTTGTTTCGTTAAGGTATACAACTTATTCAAATCGTCCTACATTATCCATAGTTCATACAATATACAACCAAAATAGAATACGAACGAAAACACAAAATAGACGGAACAAATTACTTGTTTACAATTATACGAAACCTGTTTATTTTCAATTACACAATTTTTTCGTACTATCACAATTTCAAATATACGAAAATAGAATACGATGAACAATTGTATCAATTATAAACAATTAGAAAAAAAAAGGAAGAAACAATTATCTGTCAAATTTGTATGGAAATCTTGAAAATCAAAAAGTTGATAGAATTCATCAGATTTTGGGAGTGTCGGTTGATTTTTTAAATTTTTTATTTTTTGTAACTGATGAGAGTTTTAACTAATACTTCCATCTTTAGGTTTTTTCTCTCCCCTTAATTTCTCCTTTATGTTTTAAGTATTTGTATTCTTTCAATTTAAACAATTAGAAAATAGATTAAAAAGATACATAATAAACTAAATTTGTGATATTTTTACTAAATAATGAAAGTATTGACAATGAATCCTCTTAAATAACAAAATAATGATATTTTAAAAAAAATTCCCTTAATAAAATAAGATTTAATTAATTAAATTTAATTTTTGTGGGGGAGGTGATAAATGAAATATAGAAAAGTTTTTTGGTCATTTTATCATTTTTATGTCACTACTTATTTTTAAATTGTTTAAATATAATAATAGGTATATATATTAGGCTCTATCATACCGTAGATGAGTACGATAACAATTAAATTCCATCTCAATTAAGAATGTCATTCCACATCATTCTGAGATACTAAGAAACTCAAGGTTGACGAACTCGAGAAGGGAAGACAGTTACGTTTCCAAATATCAAGATCGAGAATGCAGTTATGCATCCGATTTAAGTTTGATAAAAATTCAACCATTAAAAAATAAGCAAACCATGACAAGTAGACAAAAAATTATCAATAAATAAATAAATAAAAATATAT